CGAAGTTATTACGAAAGAAAGAAGGAAGGAAGAAAGGAAGGAAGGAAGGAAGAGAAGGAAGGAAGGAAGGAAGGAAGGAAGGAAGGAAGGAAGGAAGCACATTATTAAACTTCTCGCGCTCTAATCCAGGTGTAACGCGCGCGGCTTACGTGGTTGGAACGAAAACTATGCGGCACGATGAAGGGGCCAAAAAGAATCGGTGGTGATCTACCGAGCAGGAAAAAGTTGAACTACTGCCAGAAGGCGCGTCAAACTCAAGGAGTATTACTGGTGTACTTGAGCATATGCGCGTTGCTGCCTGCCGCTATTTTCACTGGTTAGTATCAATGATTCTTTTTGTCACGGCGATTTTTCGTCGCCGTCAGAGATTTATATTTCCATGATACAAATGTAGCTCTCAATCTGGCGGAACTCTCTTTTTATTGAAGAAATTACGTAAATCGATAATACATTTTTTAAGAAATATCTACTTTTCGTTTCTGAATGAATTAATTTATATTTCAAAAAAAGTGATAAGTAAAGAGAAATATAAATTATAATTGCGTATATACAGTTATCAATTATTTGTGAAAATCTGTGTGCTTATTTAAGTATCATTATTCCATATGAATACATTTAAAAATTAACACATAGCATATATTATTATACTTTCTTTAACAGATATTAATATTGCGTACGTTTTTTATAACTCTTACAGTTTCTAAAGTTTTAGAGGTAAAAAATAAACTTTTTGAAATAAATATAAATCTAGTCTTAAATTGCTGGGGATAAAAGCAAATTTTTATTTTCAAAATGTCTATAAATTATAAGATCTCTGATAGCAAATGTGATACAAATATTTTTCTCGCAAAATTCACAAATTGCATACCGTCGTCAACAGTGGCGAGCATAATGACGATATGATTTCCGCGCGCGGGTGCAGAAGGCGGGAGTGAAACTTTTCTACAGTCGTTCTTTAATATAGGGCCTCGCGGTCTCACCTGAGAAATGAAGAGCATAAATCACGGCGCTCATCAAGCCTCGCGTGGTCTCAATTTTGCAAAACTTTTCCCACAAATCTTTGCCGCCCGCGTTGGGCGCTGTCGTTTCCATCTTTTAAAGATTAGTTTAATGTCATTCGTGACGCCTGCTGTACTTCAACTTTATAATGAGAAAGTCATTGTGACGAAACGAAATAAGCAATAATATTTCATATTAGATAAAGGGCATTACATCAAAGTTACATTTGCAAAATACATATGCATGATTCTCGCAACTTTGTTCAATAATAATTTTATGTTATATTAGTATTTGACGCGATAAGTCCATAATATTTTGAGTCCAGCAAGTTTGCTTGCTCATATAAAAAAGGCATTAATATTATTATAAATTAATTTTATTATTATATAAAATTCAAACTTTTTTATTCTAATTAGATTTATAAACTTTATAGGATAAATTATAATATACCAAATGATGATATAATGCTAATATGATTCTAATGCTTTTTGCATTTTCAATTTGGGTCATTTATTTTATACACATTAATTTTATACACAAGATTTGCGTAATAATTACATACAGTTGACACAACAAAATTTACGACATACATGTATGTAGGAAGTTAACTGCCGCAAAGATACATTTAGAGCTTCGGAGACAATTCGAGTGTTGACTCTATTAAAAATAGACGTTACAGATCCGACTGAATTATACTGGTAGAAACACATTTCTCTAATTCGGACACTGCGGTATTATAATAAGGCTGCTAACAAGTAATTATAATAAATATATAATTATAATTATTTTTATTATAATTACTTTAATTCTCACATACTCGCATAAATACATATATTAACTCTGTACAGTCAACACTCAAGAGAATGTTTCTTCTCTTTTCTTAATTGTAGAAAAATATTATCAAGAATTGCCCAAAACCTTTTTAGCATTCGTACACATGTTACTTAAAACTTTTCTCCGATTGTTTTTAACTTTATTATAAATTCTATATTACGTAGTGCGAGTGTACATTGTTCTATTTTAACGTTGAAAGGGCGTGACTGGAAATATAAATTGAGAGAAACGACCCCTGTAAAACGCGAGAGTAGTATTAAAGGACGTCCTCAGACGCACTCGAACGCGAGTGCAGCTCCATGCGTCGAGATATGCAACCCGTAACGCTTCACAGGCAAAATAGGACCTAATTAAGCACACGAGAGTTTAAACGAGGCGCCACGGCACCGGCCGTAGTGCAAATTGCGAGTCGTATTAACAATTATCTCGTAATTGTCACAGCATGCTCAGGATTTGTAAAGCTAGAATTAAACTCGCAAGTAACGCTCACTTGGCACTTGGTGTCTCGACTGGTGTCTCTGTGTGTTCCTTTCTAGGTATATCTCCCACTCTATTTCCCCTCAAATCTTTACTATTGTGCTTCTCTGCTTTGTCATTGACTTGACGTTTCATTCGAATGAAAGGGGAGAAATAAATGTTGCAATCGTTTTTTAAAAACAAAATGCAGCAATCGTATAATTACCGTAATAAAAATTTTATTCTCTTTATTACAAAATTGCAGCACATATATTATTTTTATTCAATTTCAAAAAGCATTTTAAATAAATGTGTGTACAACACCAAATATAAAATTATTTGTTGCATTGTTGAATAAACTACAATGTAATAATAATTATGGTTATAATTACAATTATAATTATAAAAATATGTATATATAAAAATAATTCTGTATGCAAAAATATTTGTAGTTATATTAGAATTTTCTATAAGTCTGTTTCTACTTTTGTAGAAATTTAATTTTCTTAACTGTTGATAACAATGACAATGTTATAAAAA